GCCTCTGCGAGCCGGTGGCCCCGCGGAGCGGCGGCCAGGCTGGACCGTGGCGAATGGCGACTGGGCAGCCTGGCTGCTGGGGGGCCTTGGCCGCGGCGGCGGGTGCCCCGGGCTGTGTGGGCTGCAGCGTTGCGGGAGCGGGGCGCGAGGTGCCCGGGGGTGAGGGGCAAGGATGCGTGGGCCCTCCTCACCCTGGAATACGTGAGTGGCTGAATTATTCAGGGTTTGCGGCCACTGGCGCACATGGGCAGACGGGTGGGCGGGAGGCCAGGGCCTCCAGGGTGATACTTGAGGTGCCCTAGTTAGCGCGCAGGGCCCCCTCCTGGTGTCCCCTTTCCTCGCCGCTCAGGGAAGGGGGTAGGCCGGATCCCAGAGGCCGGAAAGGCGGAGCGCACACATGTGCTCGCAGTCACGGGGGCCTGGGACGTGGGCTCAGGCATACCACAGCCAAAGGAAAGCGTGTGTATGTGCACGCGTGCCAAGGTCAGGGCAGACGTGGCGTCTGTGGGGTCACGTGTGCACACGTAGACAGGCACAGAGGAGTTTCCCCCAAAGGTGGCATCAGGACTTTTGTCTCGAGACCCCCAGGTGTGGGGACAGCCCTGTTGTAAATGCACACAGGAGCACACCTGATGGACATAGAGAGCATCGGCCTGCACGTGTGTATGTGCCTGCAGCCAGGCACTGCGGGCCGGCGTGCACGTCCACGGGCATCGCGCAAGACCACGGGTGGGCGTGAGAGTGCCTGACCTCCTGATGCCACTGTGTGTAGGTCTGTGCGTGTGGGTCTGTGTGTTTGCCGGGCACTGGGCATGGATACGGCGCCAGATGGGACAGCCTTGGTCCTTCTGGAGGTGCCATGCACCAACATACAGATGTTCACCCAGTTGTCACATAAGTAGGCATGGGGTTCACACTGGAGAAGGGTGTCAGCCCCGGGAGAATGTGTGGTTTGGAGGGCTTCCAGCTGGCCAGAGGGAGCAGTGGCCATGTGCCTGTGCTCATCCCCCGGTCAGGAGCCGTGGGAGCACGCAGGAGCCTGCCGCAGGGAGCACAGGGGCCAGGCGTGCGTCCCTGGGAGTGAGGGTTGTGTTCCGAAGCAGGGCGGCCCGCAGTCCTGATCATGTCCAAGCCCCGGGGCCACGTGCGGTGCCCTCCAGTGGGCCGACCACAGGCTGTCTCTCACAGATGCACTCCATCCGCAACCTGCCGGCTCGGTTCCGAGAGCAGCACCAGGAGGACGGCGTGGAGGACATGACTCAGCTGGAGTGAGTTGGGGGTGGCGGGGTGACCACGCTCACAGCCAGAGCCCCTCCTCCTACTGGGGGCCCCGCCCACCCCCAGAATGTTTCCAGAGCCTCAGTTTTCTCCGCTGCAAGTCGAAGGTCAAACAGTGTGATGAAAGGCCAGTGAGACGGACAGGTCCTACCTAAGAGCGTCCCGCACCCTCGTGAGGTAGGGGCAGGCCATCATTAACCCACTGAGCAGATGGACAGACTGAGGCACAGAGGGGTGAAGTAGCTTGACAAGGCTTCACAGTTGGTTAGTGTCAGAGATGGGACTTGAACTCAGGCCTTTCTGACCAAGGCCCTGCACTGAGGGGAGGGTGGACCCTGACTGTCCCTCTCTGTGCCCCACAGAGACCTCCAGGAGACCACCGTGCTATCCAACCTCAAGACCAGATTTGAACGGAACCTCATCTACGTAAGGCCCGGGCGGCTCTGCACTGGGCTCGGATCTGAGGGCAGCTGCCTCCCTGCCTCCCGAACCCTGGGGATTCTACTCTTTGAGTGTAACACAGTAGAGCCTGGAGCTCTGAAATCCAAAATCCTGCAACGTAGAGTCTTAGAATGGTGGGTGTCAGGGCAGAGACCCGGAGACAGGGACCCCAGAAGCGTGTGCCCCCACCAGAGAACCAATGGGTAAGGCTTCCAGATTTCCGGGAGCCATAGACCTGGATCGCAGGTAGGGTGGTCGGGGCGGAAGGGACCCTCCAGCCTAGAACCACAGTGCCCAGCGTGGAGGCAGGGCCGCCTCAGATCCCCTGGGCTCCTGACTCCTTCCCCCTCCAAGCAGTGGAAGTTTGGTCCCACTGCAAGGCAGGGAGCCAGGCCCTGAGTGTGAATAAAGGCAGGACGCGGTAGCTGGCGCGGCTTCTCGCAGAATCGTGGTTGTGGGGCTCTGCTTGCTCCAAGCTCCTCCCAGCCGCAGCCTGGTGCTGTGCCTGACCCCCCACCTCCAGGGCGGGCTGTGGGAGGGCGTGAGGTATAGGCATGGGGCCAGGCAGGCAGACGTCTGTCCTCGTGAGACAGGGACCCAGGCTCCCAGGAGCGGGGGAGGGAGGGACACAGACTGGCCCTGAGGCTGCTGTCTGCCTAGCAGACGTACATCGGCAGCATCCTGGTGTCGGTGAACCCATACCGAATGTTCGGGATCTACGGGCCGGAGCAGGTGCAGCAGTACAGCGGGCGGGCCCTGGCCGAGAATCCCCCGTGAGTGTCTCTGGGGCTGGGGGAGGGACCGCCCTGGGGTCTCCCTGGTGAGTCCCTGGCTGCCCCTCGGCCACGGTTCAGGGCAGCTGGCAGTGGGCAGCCCACCTGCGCAGCCCAGCAGTCTTCCCCCGAGCCCGGCCCCAGCCCTCTCTGGGTTGGAGGCCACCATGGCTCAGACCAGGATGGGGGACTTGCAGGGAGCACTTCCCCACGGGGAAGGGGGTGGAGCAGGGTTAGCTGCTCGGCCGGGCTGAGATGCCCCCTACCCGCCCTCTGGGAGGTCTGGGGACACCAAGGCCCAGGGACACCTGTGGCCTGTCTCTCCAGGCATCTCTTTGCAGTTGCAAACCTCGCCTTTGCCAAAATGCTCGATGCCAAACAGAACCAGTGCATAATCATCAGGTGAGCAGTGGTGGGGTTAGGGACCTCTGTGCATGTGTGGCTGGGGGTGTTGGGGATCTCAGAGGGACCTCCTGTGCCCCTGGGGAGATCACACAGCCTCTCTGTGCTGGCCTGCCTGCTGCGTCCTCTTGCATCATGGTGGGGTCGGGGCGCCCAGACGAGGCCATGAGCAGGTGGAAGGAAGCTCACTCTGCCCCTTCACCTGGTCAGCGGAGAGAGCGGCTCTGGAAAAACTGAGGCCACCAAGCTGATTCTGCGCTACCTGGCCGCCATGAACCAGAAACGGGGCATCACCCAGCAGGTCAGCCTGTCTCTCTACTGCATCATCTGTCTCCCCAGGGCCCTCAGCCGAGTGGTCCGTGTGCTCCCCAAGAGGTCAGGGGGAGGCAGGAGAGGACATCCCCTGAGCTTTTGGGAGGTAGGCCCAGCAGACTCCCACCTGCAGGGACTCTCTGCAGGCCCCGAGCCCACACACCTGGTCTCTGGGGCACAAGGGCTTGCTGTCACCTGGCGGCTCTCCTGCCCACCGAGGGCTGGGAGGGTCGGCCAGGGCCTCCATGGTCGGAGGCCCCTGGGGACAGGGAGAGGTGGTCCGTCCTGCAGCTGACCCAGCTCTGTTCTTGTTCCTCCTCCTCCTCCCTCCTGGTGGCTTCTGAAGATAAAGGTACTCAGCAAATGCATGCCCACGACCGTGGAACGCGTGTGTGGGTGTGCACGTGCACACACGTGTGCCATGGTGGGGTGGGCAGCACGAGGTGGGGTGTTGGGGGACCCGGGAAGCCCTGTGGTTCTGCAGGGGGCCCACCTCCCTCACAAAGGGGAGAGCTCGGGGTGGCCCCAGCGTGCTCCCTCCTCGAGGCCCCAGGACAATCCCTGTGTCTCCTGGGGCCCAGATCCTGGAGGCGACACCCCTCCTGGAGTCCTTCGGTAACGCCAAAACTGTCCGGAATGACAACTCCAGCCGCTTCGGGAAGTTCATGGAGATCTTTCTGGAAGGGTGAGTGGGACGGGGCAGAGCCCTCAAGGGCCCTGTGTGGACTGGGTGCCCTGGCGCAGTCCCAGCCCCACTGACTGCCCCCACCCCGACTGCAGGGGCGCAGTCTCTGGTGCCATAACCTCCCAGTACCTGCTCGAGAAATCCAGGATTGTGTTTCAGGTGGGCAGGCCCGCCAGGCCCTGAGTGTCGTGGGGCAGGGGAGGGTGGGGGCATGCAGAATTAGTGGACCACACACGTGTATCGTGGTCTCCCTCCCTCTCCCACGCCCTGCGGCCACATGGGCTCTTCCTTGTGCCCATAGCACACCAGACACCAAGCTGCCTCAGGGCCTTTGCACCGACTGTTCTCCCTGGAGCATTCTTCCCCTAGACACCTGCATGGCCAAAGCCTCAAACCCCCTCACCTCCTCCAAGTCCTCCCTGGAATGTCACCCACTCAGGGAAGCCACCCCACTATGAAGTGCAGCTCCCCCTGACCCACCAGCACCACTTGTGTGGTTTTCCTTCCCTCCACCTGACTTAGTTTATGTTCTAACCAGTGATTTGCTGAGTGTGCCCCCAGCCAGCAGGTGTGCTCCGAGAGGCTTCTGCCTGCTTAGTTCCCCGTGTGTCCTGAGGCCCTGGCTCCGGGCCCGGCCCCCAGTCCATGCTTGCCGCTCTTGCTGGGTGAGCCGCTAGGAGGCCCTGTGAGTGCGCACCTCGGCTATGGACACACGTGTACATAGGCGTGTGTACATACGCGAGAAGGCCACCTTTCTCCTACTGCTTCAAGCTAAATTCCATCCTGCCCAGAGGCTTTCTGCCCCCTGACCCCTGCCGTCACCAGACTGGGGCTCACTCGTCACGAGGCACCAGTCTCACCTGAGGCCTGTGTGTGTTTCTGTCTGTGGCCGTGGTTGGGCCTGGACGTGTGTCTGGGGGTCACCGAGGTGGGGGCTCCCCCCTCTGCACCCACCCACCCTCTCTGCAGGCCAAAAACGAGAGGAACTACCACATCTTCTATGAGCTGCTGGCCGGGCTGCCGGCCCAGCTCCGGCAGGCCTTCCGCCTGCAGGGAGCCGAGACCTACTACTACCTGAACCAGGTGAGCGCCAACCTGTGTCTGGGCCCCGGGCCTGTCCCTGTCCTGTCACGCTGGGTGGGCCGAGAGAGCCCAGCTGTGGCATCCTGCTGGACAGCAGAGGTGACGGAGGTTTGGGAGGGTGAGTTTGGATTTTGGGTGTCTCATCATGGCAGGGGGACCAGTGTCTTTGGGGCCCAGAGCCAGGGTAGGGCAGGCCTAACTGAGTCTTCATTTCTCTGGAGCCCAGAGCAGAGCTAGGCAGCCTGGAGCACGTCCCTCCAGAGCCTCGGTCTCCCCATCTGTAAAATGGGCACAGCCCAGTCCTGCCTTTCAGGGCCGAGCGGGGGTTAGTGAAGGAGGAGCATGGGAAGCCCTTACCATGGGGTGGGATGTGGGGCCCGTTCCGCCCGCCCGCGATAGAAGAATGAGGGACCAGCTCGGGCCAGTGCACGTGGGGGTGGAGCAGGGCCCCTGAGGGCTCCGGCCCCCACCCAGGGCCCTAACCCCCGGCCCGGCCCCGGCCCAGGGTGGGAACTGTGAGATCTCGGGGAAGAGCGACTCGGACGACTTCCGCCGGCTCCTGGCCGCCATGGAGGTGCTGGGCTTCAGCGGTGAGGACCAGGACAGCATCTTCCGCATCCTGGCCTCCATCCTGCACCTGGGCAACGTCTACTTTGAGAAGTATGAGGTGAGATGCCACGGCCCGCTCGGGGTCCAGCTTCCCTGGGACACAGGCATCTCTCTGGAGGTTGAAGAACCACCAGGTCACAGCTGAGAGCACACATCGCTTGTTCTCGTTCCTCCGCTTTGGGCTTGTCCATCTTTTGCTCGTTGGCGTGTGAGAGCTCTTTACATACGTTAAGGAAATCGGCCCGTTGTCTCTGATGTGAATCACAAGTGTGCTTTCTGGTTTATCACTTGTGTTTTGCCTTTGTTTACAGGCTTTTTGGTGTTTTTCGAGTTCGGGGTTTCTTTTTTGGCCAGGCAGGTTTTTAAAAATTGTTCTCAGGCATTTCATTTATTGAAAGTCTTTTGTACAAATGTTAGACCTTTTATCATTTTTAGAGAGAACCTATTCCTCTAAAATTGTAACAGTCTTCTAAGATTTTTTCAACACCTTTTCTGGTTTCTCTGTGGTTTTTTTAAACATCTGACTCTCCGGCTTATCAGGTATTCATCCCAGTGAGGGGTGAGGTGGGGATCCTGTTTCTTTTTCTCCAGGCGGTCGCTCAGTCTTCCAGCTTGAGAAATACACACTGATCACACACTAAATTCCTGTGGGCATGTGTAGTTCCAGACTTTTTGTCGGGCTTCACTGATCTATTTATATGTGGGGATAGACCCTCTGTTTTTTTGTTGTTGTTTTGTTTTTTTTAATTTTATTGGGTTATAGTCAGTTTACAACGCTGTGTCAGTCTCTGGGGTGTGACACTCTGTTTTAATTGTTCCAACTTCATACTGTGTTCCACCATCTGGTGGGGCCCCCTGCACTCCTCTTCTGTTCCAGAATTTTCCTGAATGTTCTAGCTTGTTTATGTTTTCACACGGACATTAAACTCAGCTTCCCTGGCTCAAAACACACTTCTGTTGGCGTTTTGCATAGACGGACGCGCAGGAGGTGGCCTCGGTGGTGAGCGCCCGGGAGATCCAGGCCGTGGCGGAGCTGCTGCAGATCTCCCCGGAGGGCCTGCAGAAGGCCATCACCTTCAAAGTGACCGTGAGTCCCTGGGCACCGGGAATGCCACCACAGCCTCCTGCCAGCGTCCGGACAGAGCTGCTCTGCGCCCCATCCTGGGTGGGCCCTCTGCCCCCGCCCCCGGCCTGTCGGTCTCCTGACTCGGGCCCAGAAGCGGGTAACCTCAGGCCCCGCGGGCATAGGCACTCGGTCTCCAGGCCTTAGCATTCGCTGTTTCCTCTGCCTGGAATGCTCTTCCCTTTTTCATGCCTACTCATCCTTCAAGAAGACCCCACACAGGCATCCTCCTCTGCAGGGAGCTGTCCCTGACCCCTGGTGGGTCAGCACCTCCCACGTCCCCTGCTCTTCCTCCCTTCTCCCCTCCGTGTCATGTCTGCTTATGCCTCTGTCCTCCCCAGACCAGCAGCCCCCACATGCAACCAGCAAGGCAGGCAGAAGTGGGGACGAGTGTGTCCTGGTCGGTCCCGGCTGACTTTGTGCCTAAGACCAGTCACACCATCCTCCTGGCTCCTTTCCCCATGCCCCCTACTCCTCAGTTCTCTGAGGACTTCCCGGAGGTGCTGGCCAGCCTGCTGTCACTCAGGGGCACATCTCCCCCCGCCCCACTGCCAGGAGACAATGCGAGAGAAGATCTTCACGCCCCTGACCGTGGAGAGCGCCGTGGATGCCAGGTGAGGCCAGCCTCTTCCTGCCTGAGCCCCAGGCCCCCAGCCCCCCAGCTCTGCGGCCCCCACCCCAGCACCGCCTCTGCTCCAGGGATGCCATCGCCAAGGTCCTGTATGCACTGCTCTTCGGCTGGCTCATCTCCAGGATCAACGCGCTGGTGTCCCCGCAGCAAGACGCCCTGTCCATCGCCATCCTGGACATCTACGGCTTCGAGGTGGGGCTCCGTCGGGCTCTCTCGTGTTCCCCCGCCTAGGACAGTCTCCATCCTCCATCTGTTGGGGCCCTCCCTGGTGATCATCTCCCTTGTCCCCTGCCGCTTCCCCCCCTCGCCCACAAGCACTCCCTGGGGCCTCGCCTGAAAGGACCAGACCTGGGCCCTGGCCTTGGGGAGCTTCCAGGAGGGACTGGGTGGGGAGGGACGGACACTGACAAGCACATGTGGTCAGAGCCGTCAAAGAGGCAGCCTGGCCCTGGGGAAGCCCAGAGAAGACCCTGCGCTGCTCAGGGGTCAGGGAGCCTTCCTGGAGGGGGAGGAAACATCTCATGCTAACTCCTTAAGAGCCAGTAAAGCATTCGAGGTGCAGGAAGCAGCCTCCTCACAGGCTGAGAGGGGTGGGGCATGGCAACTGGGGAGCTGGAAGTCACTTTCGGGGTTGGGATTGGGGGCAGCGGCAGTGTTGAACACACAGTGAGGGAATGGAGAGCAACAGGCAGCATCAGGACAGTGGAAGTCGTTTCTGAGGCCCCCGTGGCACCTGCCACATGCCAGCTGCTGTCCTAAGCACTTGGTTATTAATTCACTTAATACTCATGGCCACCCTATAAGGTAGGCACTGTCATTTCCCCATTTTAAAGATGGGGAAACTGAGACACGGGGTTGCCCAGGGCCACATAGTTAGAAAGCGGCCGAGCTGGGACTGGGACCCAGACAGAAGGTTCCAGAGCCTGGGCCTTGAAGCACTACCAGGTGTGGGGACCTGGACTGCCAGGTTCTCACCTGTGCACAGTGGAAGGCATAGAAGGTTCTGAGCAGGGGTTCTGCAGTCAGGCCTCAGCTTGCGGAAGCTGTGGCCTCGGGAGGCAGAGAGGGCCCTGAGCCTGCACTGGTGGGATGGATGGGCTGCCAGACCCCCTCACCCACCGCCCACCCAGCAGGACTTGAGCTTCAACAGCTTTGAGCAGCTTTGCATCAACTATGCCAACGAAAGCCTTCAGTACCTCTTCAACAAGATCATCTTCCAGGAGGAGCAGGTGGGCAGGGCCTCTGGCCGCAGCTGTCCCCTGCCCTGCCGGCCGCCAGCTGGGCCTCCTCGGAGCAGGCGGAGGGTGCTGGCTCTTCAAGGGCAAATCGGAGGCTGTCCATAGGCCCAGTGGAGGGAGAGGCGTTGTGAGCCAGGGACCAGCACGTGTGAAGGCCTGTGTTCTGGAGGGGAGGGTGTGGGGGGCGCTGAGCCCAGAGAAGGGCCCTCGCGAGGGTTCCTGGCCCTCAGCATGGCTGTCCCAGTGGAGGGAGGAGCAGGGCCCAGAGGACGCCTGCTGCTCTGCTAGGGAGTGTGCTCCCTGTCCAGGAGTTGTGCACGCAGGGGTGCCCTGGCCAAGCCCCTTCCCTTGGAAGCAGGGTGGGAGGGTCCCGGGCAGGGCCAGGAGGCAGAGGCCCTGCTGCCTGCAGGAGGAGTACACCCGGGAACAGATCGACTGGCGGGAGATCGCCTTCGTGGACAACCAGCCCTGCATCAACCTCATCTCCCTGAAGCCCTATGGCATTTTGCGCATCCTGGACGACCAGTGCTGCTTTCCCCAGGTGAGCCCAGCGCTGCGCCAGCCTGGTCGGGTCCCTCCGCGTCTCTGAGCCTCATGTCCTCATCAGGTCTGAGTGCTGCATTTTTTTCTGCTCTGGCCTGGGGTCAGGGGCTCAGGACCCCCAATCTGCCAGTCAAGGTTGAGGCTGCGTAGAGGGCTCCAGAGGAGGGGCTGCACCAGCCTGGGAAGTCATAGAAGGCTTCCTGGAGGAGGTGACCTTGGGGTTGGGCCTCACCTTCTGATTGGAAAACACAGGCTGGGAGGGGTGCTCTGGGCAGTGGGACTAGAGTGTGCACAAACAGCTGGGCTGGAGGGGAGGCAGCTGGGAGTTAATCAGACACCACCTGCAGGGGTCCACTTGGGCCGCCCCATTCCGAGCAGTGGGCAGCAGGGAAAGCTGGGACTCGTTCCTTCCCAGTGCTCGCTGGGGACCAGTCAGGGCTGGAGAGTTTGCCACTCGGCCAGGAGCAGGGTGCCCAGGCCCCTGCCCACCCCTGACCCTGCCCCTAGGCCACAGACCACACGTTTCTGCAGAAGTGCCATTACCATCATGGCACCAACCCACTCTACTCCAAACCCAAGATGCCACTGCCCGAGTTCACCATCAGGCACTACGCTGGCAAAGTCACCTACCAGGTAAGACCTCCAGTACCGCTGTCCCTGCTACTAGGGGCACTCGTGCCTGGCTCCAGTGCTGGCCCCACTGAAACTCCACTGTGTGGTCTGGGAAAAATCACTTTACCTCTCTGAGCCTCAGTTTCCTCATCTGGAAAATGGGGGTCATAAAAGTGCCCATCTCATGAGGCAAGCGTGAGCAGTCTGGGGCCATGGTGGGTTGATAAAGAGCCACTCCCCCTGTAGTGATGTCACTGAGGTCACTCTTATAACCCCATCTCAGACACATTCCTGCCCTGGAGGTGTCTCAGGCCCAGATTCTAAGCCTCTGTCCCCATCTGGGCCTTATTTGCCTCATCTGTAGAATGGACACAAGACAGTGTCCTTCACTGAGGATGCGGCCAAGCCCCGGACTGGTCCTGGGAAGCTGCGGCTAGGGCCTCCTCCCCAGGAGTGGGGAGGTAGAGGGGACAAGAGGGGAGGGAGCCAGAGCAGGAGGGTCCAGTCCCCACAAGGACAAACAGGGAGACAGAGGCCTGCCAGAGCCAGGCCAGGCTCCCCCAGGGGCTGTGGGGGCGGGGAGCAGGGGCACATGCAGGCCGAAGCACCCTGTGTAGCTTATCCCTCTGCCTCCCGGGCCGCGTGGGCCAGGGTGGGTCCTGCTCGAGCTGCGCGCCTCTCCTCTTGCAGGTGCATAAGTTCCTGGACAAGAACCACGACCAGGTGCGCCAGGACGTGCTGGACCTATTTGTGCGGAGCCGGACCCGGGTGAGCCAGCCTCGCCTCCCGCCGCCCCGGGCCCCCAGCCCAGAGCCAGGCCCTGCCCCGGTCCTGAGGGGGCAGGGAGGTGCCCCAGCCCCAGCCCCAGCCCCATACCCACCCTGTCCCTCCCCAGGTGGTTCTGCCAGCCCCTGCCCCTCTCTGGGCCTCCACTTCCCCTCTGTCCAGTGGGCACCCTCCCCGCCCAGGTCGTTGCCAGAGCTCAGGGCCAGGTGTGTCACAGGCCACCCGAGGGCCAGGCACAGAGTCAGTGTGTTCCCCAGACCGAAGACAGACAGCCCAGCCTCAGGCGGGCCCGTGGGATGGGGCTGAGCACCCTGACGGAGAGGTGCGCCAGCCGGGAGGACACGGGCCTCCTGGGGGAGCAGGGGCCCAGTGGGTCACTTTTCTGACCCCTCTGGTCTGGGCATTGACCTCTTCTGTTCTTCCCCTTTCTCTTCCCCCTTCCCTGTCTCTCTGGCTCCTGGTGCCTGGACTGCCGCCCTGGCCACTGCACCCTGGCCCAGGTGGTGGCCCACCTCTTCTCTAGCCATGCCCCTCAGGCAGTCCCCCAGCGCCTGGGCCAGAGCAGCTCCGTCTCCCGGCTCTACAAGGCACACACCGTGGCTGCTAAGTTCCAGCAGTCGCTCCTGGATCTGGTGGAGAAGATGGAAAGGTGGGCTTGGCAGGGCATGGGCACCAGCCTCCCTCTGACCCAGCCCTGACTCGGGGGAGGAGGACTCCCCCCTCCTGGCTCACACTGGCGTCCTCTGGCCCCTGCCCAGGTGTAACCCCTTGTTCGTGAGGTGCCTGAAGCCCAACCACAAGAAGGTGCGTGATGGGGGAGGCCCCTGGGGGAGCCAGATCCTCTTCCCCAGGCTCTGTGGCCTTGGGCAGCTGGTTTTGCCTCTCTGGACCGTCATCAGCCCCGCCCACTGTGGGGACCATTGCACGTGTGTGGGCAGCCATGCAGGCTCCCCACCTGGGCCCTCCTGCAGGAGCCCGGCCTCTTTGAGCCAGACGTGGTGATGGCACAGTTACGCTATTCTGGGGTGCTGGACACTGTGCGGATCCGCAAGGAGGGCTTTCCAGTGCGGCTGCCCTTCCAGGTGTTCATCGACAGGTACTTCAATCAGGGTGCTTCCTGAGCTCCACAGAACCCAACGCAGCCCACCAGGGCCCCAGGGATGCCCAGTCCAGGCAGACTAGGGCTTGCCATACACAGTTGCCCAGGTTGTGCACTGTGCAAGGCCACCACGTATTAGTTGTTACATGGCAGATATATTTATTTTTTGAATTTTTTCAGTTTTATCATGTATGTGTTGATTCCAAAGAGAGAAAGTAATTTTAATAGTTATCATTGCAAGTTCCCAGCAGATGGCAGTAAAATGTCTTATTCTACTGAAACCAGTTATGACTGTTTTCAGACACCTAGAAGTAGAGTCTTGAGGACAGAAAGCTTTTTTTCTGATAAGGAGACACTAGGAGTGGAGACACTGCTGGGACCCGGCCTCCCAGACACAGGTGTCCGGGGTGGTGACCCTGGGGTCTCGCAGGCCCCTGGGTGAGTTTGGGCCCTGCAGGTACCGCTGTCTGGTGGCCCTCCAGCGCGACCTACCCGCCAGTGGGGACATGTGTGTGTCGGTGCTGAGCCGCCTGTGCACAGTCACGCCCAACATGTACCGCGTCGGTGTCAGCAAGGTGAGTCCCACCCCTGGGGGTTCCACACCCCACTCTCAGGGGCTCTGGAGCTGGAGCCTGGGAACTGAGAGACGCCCAAGCTGGATTACCATCCTGGAGGCTGCGCCGTAGAGCTGGTAAATGGAATGTTGATCCCACGTCCAGAGCTTTGCTGGGGCGGTTCCTGCTGCCTGGTTCACCGTCACCCCTTCGCCCTCTCCAAATCCACCAGCTCCAGGGGCTGTCGGTCGGGCTCCTGGGCTTCTGGGGAGGGCGGGGCCCCCAGTCGGTTACCGGGCCCTTCCCTGCCTCAGTGCTTGCCGGCCGCCCTCAGCTGTTCCTTAAGGAGCACCTCCACCAGCTGCTGGAGGGCATGAGGGGGCACGCCCTGAACCTGGCAGCCCTCACGCTGCAGCGCTGCCTCCGCGGCTTCTTCATCCAGCGGCGTTTCCGCTCTCTGCGCCGCAAGATCATCCTCCTGCAAAGCCGGGCCCGAGGCTACCTGGCCAGGTGCGGCCCAGATGGGGCAGGACTAAGGTTAGGCTGAGGGGAGGCCATGCCCGAACTTGGATAGTGAGCTCTCTGCTCCTGGAGGCATGCAAGCTGAGAGTGAGGACCTCTGCAGAAAGGATGGTCAGATTCTCTGTGTCTCTCCTCTTGGATGTCCTTCTCTCCCACCCCCTGGCCTCTGTGACCAGTGAGTGGGAATCTGTCCAGCCAAGAGAGGCCCCACCCTGCATCTCCTGTACCCTGGAACTACCATGTGATGGGAAGTACATGATCCAGATGGCTTAATCCAGGCCCTGGCACTCAGTTGGCTGTGTGACCTTGGCCAAGTCACTGCTTCTCTCTGAGCTTGTTTCCCTCTGTGCAGAGAGCCCCAGAGTGAAGTGTGGACACTGACACCAAGCCAGGCTGGTGTGGGCATCTCTGCCCCTAGGCCACCCCTGAGCCCCCTACCAAGACCGTTCTTCCCTCCGCACCCCCAGGCAGCGGTATCAGCAGATGAGGAGGAGTCTGGTGAAGTTCCGGTCCCTGGTGCACATGTACATGAGCCACCGGCGTTACCTCAAGGTGCAGGCCTGCCCCTCGCCCTTCTTCCAGGAGCCAGGCCTGCCCCATCTGGGCCCGGGGGCAGCAGGGATGGGGAGGAGGCACCCAGCACCCAGGAGGAGACTGCCAGCCCGGAGAGTCTTGGGTTCAGGTCCCCGCCCCACCACTCACCAGCTGGGTGACCTTGGCCCTCTCTAGCCAAGAGGAGAGCGGTGTGGAGAGGGTCAGGTAGGGGCTGCATTGAAGGCGTCTGGCCTGGGTCTAGGGTCACAGCAGGGGCTTCGGGACTTGGGCACAACTGGAGTTTGGTGGCCCGAGCAGCACTGGAGGAGGTTTTGCTCTTGCCTTGATGCCTGTCTCAGGCTGTTGTCATGTGACCAACCGCCAGAAAGACGAACATAACCCCAGAGCCCCGAGGAGCTGTGTGCCTCTACTGGCTACTTTGGGGGCGACGGGGAAGGGGCATCTGCCTGCTGCTTCCCAGAAACCCCACGACCCTCGCTTCCCCGAATGGTCCTCCCCCTGCCCTTGCCTCTGTCTGTCTTGCTGTCTTTGTCCCCAACACACGTTTCTCTGGCCACACCTCTGCCTCCCCCACCTCTGAGGGGGGTGGTCGCCTCCAGGCAGCAGGCATGCTGAGCCCTGGCTTCTCCTGCTGGCTGCCTTGGGCGCACTGGCCTGGCCCGCCCTGGCCTGGGGCTGCCGTCGCCTCTGCCCGCCGTTCCCGCCTTGACCATCCGCTCTCCTGCAGCTAAGGGCAGAGCGGAGACTCCGGGTGGAGGAGGCGCGGCTGCGGGAGCAGGAGGTGGGTGTGGGGGTCCACTTGGCCGCAGGGGACCGGAAGGGAGGCTGGCAGGCGGGGATGGTGGCGGGCCCATCCCCTCACCATGTGCCGTCCCTGCAGGAGCTGAGCAAGCGGCAGGTGGTGGCTGTGGGGCACCTGGAGGTGCCAGCAGAGCTGGCTGGGCTCTTGCGAGCCGTGACAGGTGCGTCAGTGCCGGACGATGTGGTGGGGCGGGGGGAGCGGGGGGGCCAGGTGCCTCATGTCCTCCTCCACATCCACAGGTCTCAGGATGGCCCAGGGCCCCCAGGTGGCCCCCGTGCGGACTCCCCGGCTTCAGGCCGAGCCCCGGGTCACCTTGCCCCTGGACATCAACAACCACCCCATGGCCAAGTTTGTCCGGTGCCACTTCAGGGTAAGAGCCGGTGCAGGCCCACGCGGCCCTGGCCAGTGTGGGCGCCACCAGTTAGCACTGATGCTGTCCTCTGCCCCAGGCAGGCTCCTGCGGGGTCAGGTATGAGGCCTTCTGTTGCTGGATCAGGAGGAGCCTGGGGCCTCCCGGGAGGCCTGGATGGCAGTGGAGGGTACCCGAGGGCTCAGGAGTGGCTTTCGGCCAACCGATCTGGAGATAGTTCAGGAATTTAACAGCTGGTGGGCCCAGAGCACATCGTCCCTGGTCTTAATTTCCTGCCCTCCAGAGAGGACCCCTGTGGGGCGTTGACCACAGACTTCTGAGGGCTGGTATTGGCCCCGCTCCAAGCCACAGCTTCCCTTTTGCACGCTGCAGACAGGAGCCCCATGCCCCCGCCCGCCTCTGTCCCCACGTGCCTGCCCTGTGCCCCCAGGAACCTGCCTTCGGGATGCTGACAGTGCCCCTGAGGACACCCCTCACGTGGCTGCCGGCCGAGCACCACGCAGAGGCCGTGGGAATCTTCAAGCTGGTATGGGTCTGCCCAGACCACCGTGAATTCCCAGCCCCTGCCCCTGAGGCCAGACCATGAGTCCTCTGGTCCTGCACTCCTGGACCCTCCACTGGCCCAGGCATGAGTCCGGGCCTCCTCCTTGCAGGAGAGACTGCTTTGAGGGTGTCTGGCCTCCCCTCCAGGCTGGGCCTGGGGTTGGGGGGTCTTTCTTCTCCCAGCCAGCTTCCTGGCAAAGAGTCTGCCTCCAAGCCTCTCTGGAGTATCTGAGGACACCAAGAGCAGATCCAGTCCTCCCCTCAAGGACTTCCTAGTCTGAAAAGGGAGGCCAAGCAGACCTCGTACCAAGCAGGGGGTTGCGAAGGTTGGGGAGTCCAGGCAGGGCCCCCCATCCAGCCCTGGGCAGGGTTGGTGAGGGCTTCCTGGAGGAGGGGGCATTTGAGCTAGAGAGGAGGGAGACATCTGAGTCTCCCAGCCAGGGCAGGTGGAGAAGGCACAGAGAGATGAGGAAATAGACGGATCAGAACAGAGATGTAGGAGGGCGAAGGCCAGAGGGGTCTCAAGGCCTTGATGACAGGCCCAGAGCTGTGGTTTCACGCCAGAGGCCGGAGGGAGACAAGGGAGGTGCTTCCATGGGAGGGACATGGTCGGGTATGCATGTTGGACGGTCCCCTGTGGGGCCTGGATGGAGCAAGGGGTGAGGAGCCTGCTGGAGGCCAGGGGAGCGGGGAGAGGGTGCTATGTGGGAAGCTGTAGGTTAATGAATACCTTGACTTTTCCCAAATGCTTAGCCGCTTCTTGTGGGACAGGGCTGTTACACTGTAACATTTCACGTGGGCAGGGGGACACGTGGGAAGGACATGAGAGAGATGCCCAGGGGGTGGGGACCGGGCAGGGACAACCTTCCAAGAGGCCCAGGAGATTCTGTCTGTGGCCAGATCCTGCGTTTCATGGGCGACCCCCAGCTGCACGGTGCCCGGGACAGCGTCTTCGGGAACTACATCGTCCAGAAAGGGCTGGCGGTGCCTGAGCTGCGGGACGAGATCCTGGTGCAGCTGACCAACCAGGTGTGGCGCAACCCCAGCGCCCACAACGCTGAGCGGGGCTGGCTCTTGCTGGCCGCCTGCCTAGGTGGCTTCGCACCTTCCTCACGCTTCGACAAGTATCTGCTCAAGTGAGTGGAACCGAGCAGGGCCGGGGCGTAAGGATGTGAGGTCAGGCCAGGAGTGACGCTCTGTGCTGGGAGGTTCAGGCTCCGAGGCTGGCCCAGGGCTTCACTGAGAGGGTGGGAGTCTGGAGCCCAGAGGTGGCAGGACCAGGGAGTAGGGAATTTGGAAGAGCGCATCCATCTCTCATGTCATGGGGGCAGGGGCAGGTACGGCAGGGTGGTCAGGAGTGCAGGCCCTGACAGTCTGTATCCAAATGAGCTGGGTGACCTTGGGCAAGTTACTTAACATCTCTGAGCCTGAGTTTCCTCACCTATAAAATGGGGATGAGAAGAGTACCTGCTCCATAGGCTGTGTGAGGATTAAACGGCAAACATGTGTGAAGTGCCTAGAACAGAGACAGGCGCGCGGTGTGTGCTCCGTGAGGGTAGCAACACCCTGGTGGCGATAAGATGGTGGTGGTGATGTCACCCTGCTGTGTGGTAAGGATGACTTCAGGAAAAGAGCTCAAGCAGGCCCTGGGCGTGAATCCTAGCTCTGCCACTGACTTGCTGTGTGACCTGGGGCATATCATTGCCCTTCTCTGAACATCTCTTACCTGTGACTTGGGGATGGTAACAGGACCCACCCTACGGGGTGGCTGTGAGTTGCAGAGGGTACAGAGCTCCCCCCGGATCACGTGCAGGAGGGCAGCTCCTTGGCCAGTCTTGTGAACCTGCCGAGGGTAGGGCCACCACCTGCCCATCCGGCTTCCTGCGGCCGCTGCCCGAGGTTCCCCCTTGCAGCTGCTGCCCGAGGTTCCCCCTTGCAGCTGCTGTGGGCCGGCCCTTAGTGGGTGGGAGGGGCGGGGATCAGGCTGGCTGGTCCTGGTTCGGATTGCACCCTCACAGCCATCTCTTCTGTGGACGAGAACTTGGGGGCAGCCTCGGAGAGGGCAGGTAGTCACCCAGGGCTGCCTGGTGAGAGAACCGAGTCTCCGGGGTCCGGGTCTCTGTCCATGCCCTGCTCAGACCCCACCCTTTTGATGACGTGTTGCTCCAACAAGCTTGGGTGGGCCAAGCTATGACCTCTTCGGCCAGTCCTTGGACCGCTGTGCTAACTTGAGACACTCCGGGCACCCTGGACCCTTTCAGCCAGGCTCTGGCGCCCTGGGCTGGCCTGGGCCTCCCTTGCGCAGGCCTCGGGGCCTTCCCTCACGCCCACCCGCCGGCCTCGGCTCCCTCTTCCTCCGGTGCCCACTCCTCCCCTCAGGTTTGTGTCTGATCATGGGCGGGATGGCTTCCAGGCCGTGTGTCAGCATCGCCTCATGCAGGCCATGGGCCGGGCCCAGCAGCAGGGCTCCAGGGCTGCCCGCACCTTCCCTCCCAGCCAGCTCGAGTGGACGGCTGCCCAGGAGAAGGCCGGCATGGCGCTGGACGTGGGCTGCCTCAACGGTGAGCGCCTTCCCTCCCTGCCTGCCCCTCCCTCCCCCTGCATTGGGGACAGCTGGAGGTAGCAGAGGCCAGTAGCTCTGGGGTTAGGAGAAGCCCAGGAGGCTCTGGAGCTGGGAGGGGCCTGCTGGATGGAGCCCTGGAGAGAGGCCGGTGTGGGGGTGTGGGGCCAGGCCTGGAATGGGGGAGTGGAGCCAGGGCAGCGAGGATGTGAGTTCGGGGACGGGGGAGCGGGAGGCTTGGCCCACAGACACTCCTGCTCTGGGCTGAGCCCCACCCCTGCTGCCGCCCCAGGTGACCAGTTCTCCTGCCCGGTGCACTCCTGGAGTACGGGGGAAGAGGTGGCTGGAGACATTCTGAGGCACAGGTTGGCTTCTGGAATGCCCGATCCAGTGCACCCTTGTGCACCTGGGTTGGGGGGGTGGGCAGGAGGGCAGATCCCCCAGAGTCCCATAGGGTTCACTCTGGTCATGGTGGTGTCTGGCTCACATCCCCGGGCCTCCCTGGGCGGTCCTCTTGGCTCTCTTCCTCATTTCCATCCCTCTGTGTGCTGTCACCAGGGGGCTGACGGATGGCTGGCGGGGCTGGACGGTGGCCATGAAGAATGGGGTCCAGTGGGCAGAGCTGGCGGGCCATGACTACGTGCTGGACCTGGTGTCGGACCTAGAGCTGCTCAGGGACTTCCCGCGACAGAAGTCCTACTTCATTGTGGGTGCAGAGGAGCCCACGGCTGGCAAGGGAGGCCCCAGAGTGTAGGTGACTCCCTGGGCCCCTCGGACAGACGGCCTCTCATGCACAAGGCTTCCCTCCCGGTTGCTGGGAGAGGCTGTGTGCATTCTGAATTTAGCTTCAAGGTTCTCGTGGGGGTGAGGCTCAGCACGGGTCCTGCCTCTAAAGGGAGGGAGTCGGCCACTTCCAGGGCAAAGAGGATTGGGAAAGGTGGTCTCTCTGCGGGTCACTGCTCCATGTTTCCCTTTCCCCACAGGCTGTTCGGGGACAGCTGGGACTCGGAGGAGGAGGCGCCTGCTAGGCCACAGCCCCAGGGGCATGTGCCCCAAGTGGCTGACTCTGATGGGTACTGCAGTCACAAGGAGGATGGTACAAATGGGGAGACTGAGGCCCAGAGAGGGACAGCGACCCACCAAGGTCAACCAGCAGTGGCAGCTGTCTCTGGTGGGAGGGAGCCTGGGGCTAGGGATGGTGGTCAGCAGGAGAAAAGAACTCGACTCTCGTGTCCCCCCACCCTCACCAGACTCGGACAGCCTTGGAGAGCCCGCTGTGCCCCACAAGGGGCTGGACTGCTACCTGGACAGCCTCTTCAGCCCTGTGCTGTCCTATGGGGACGCGGTAGGGATGCGGCGGGGCATCCATGGACCACGGGCCCAGCACGTGCACACTGAGTTACACACTGGCAGGGCGACAGGGGCCTCTCACAGCCAGGGCCATGGGGTGGCGTGTTCGGTTTGGGTCTCTGCTGGGGGCCAGACGAAGGGTGAGAGTGTCCCCACAGCTGGAGGTGCTCCTGCTGGACACGGAAGGGCCCACGGCTGGAAGTCCAGGACCCTCCCCCCACCCCATGGCCCCCTTGCTCACTCCAGGAACTCCCAGGAGCCCCTCCATGGCAGGACGTGTGGCCCTGAGCAGGGCGCAGCCCCTTTGAACCTCAGTTCACTCCTCTGTGAAAGGGGGTGGGAGGACCGATTTGGGTGCAGAGGCTGGGCACATGGCAGATGCTGCCAGGGGAGGCCTTGGGATGGAGGCGGAGGCGGTGGCGGTGTCAGGTGCCTGTTGCCTTGGAACCTGGGGAACACGGCATTGAGGCGGTCACTTGAGCCACCTACTGCCCCCAGGACCTGGAGAAGCCAACGGCCATGGCCTGTCGCATGAAAGGGGCAGCCAGCCTGGCGGGGTGGCAGCAGCAGCACCAACGGCACCACCGGGAGACCTCCAGAGCCCAAGCCAAAGCCAAGTCAGTGCCTGCCCCCGGATGGGTCCCAGGGTCGGGCAAAGGGGCCCCGTGGTTCTCAGGGCTCCTTCGGACCTAGAGCAGAGGCCGCCTCGGGAGTGGGGGGAGGGTGAGCCAGTGGGGGCGGGGGTAAGGAGTTCCCATTTCTCCCGTTGCCCCCACCTCTGGATCCACGCCTCCTGACCCGGCGCCCGTAGTTCCAGGCCTGGACGCCTCCACGTTGGCTCTGCAGCAAGCCTTCATCCACAAGCAAGCCGTGCTGCTGGTGAGTGCCTGGGGGCTCCCCAGGGGTGGGGGCCGAGCCGGGCCGCCGGGTCACCGCCGCTGCCTCTCCCCAGGCCCGGGAGATGGCCCTGCAGGCCATGGCGTTGCAGCAGCCGCCCCTGAGGCCCGCGCCCAGGCCCTTGCCCCCAGAGGTGAGCCTGGCCCCCCGGTGAGTGCTGGGCTGCCCTCGGGCGTCGCGTACCTCTCTGAGTCAGGAGCCCCACAGCCCCTCCCGGGCAGACCTGGGGTCCCTGAGAGCAGACTGGTGTGTCCCAGGAAGCCCACCTCACACGCTGCTCTCCACAGAAACCTCTGGCGCTGGAGGCTCAGCCCAAGTTCGTAGGCACGGGACCCCCGGCCAAGCCCGTGCTCCTGCGCTCCGCTCCGAAGCCCGCAGCCCCTGCCCCTCTGGCCAAGGCCCCGAGGCCCCCCACCAAGCCCGTGGCTGCCCCCATTCTAGCTCAGGGCAGGGCTTCTCCGGAAACCAGTGAGTGTCCTATCCCAGCTGGGGGCTTCCCGGGACGGGGCTGGGAGTGAGGCCTCACCCTGTCCCCTGCCTGGCCACAGCGTCACCCTGCCCAGAGCTGGTTCGGTCCTCGACCCTCAACTCGGAGCACTTCCCGCAGCCCACGCAGCAGATCAAGAACATCGTCAGGCAGTACCAGCAGCCGCCCCGGGGAGGCCGGCCCGAGGCACTCAGGTCAGCCTGCCCACCCCAGCCCTCCAGCCTGGCCTCCTCGCAGGCCTGTGTGCCCAGCGTCCGTGTGACCATCATCTGGGTTAGCAGCGCACCCCAACCCCGGCAAACTTCAGGGAGGGAGTCTGTTCACGCAGATGGTCCAGACGCGTTCCCCGGGCAGAGGGAGGCTCAGACTGCTGTCTAGGTTGTGCTGTGTGAGCCCACGCCTGTCTCTGGTCCTTTCTGGGTCCTCATTTGTAGTGATGGGGGTAGGGGGAGAAGTTCCCTATTGCGAGAGTTTGTGGCTGGAAGAAGGAGACTCAGTGTCCAACCCAGCAGGAAGGACGGCGGGAGGGTCTTTGTGAAGCAGCCAGACCCCCACGAAGAGGCCCTGAGGATCCTGAAGGGGCAGATGAGCCAAGCGGCGGCGGCACCTGGCCCCCTGGTGAGGGCAGAGTCTGGTGGGGCCCAGGCAGAGCGGGGGGCCAGTGGGGCCTCTGGGGGAGCCTCCGATGCAGCTGCCCTGTAAGCTGTGGCCCTGCTGCCCCCTGAGCACTTGCTTTCGGGTGGGGACAGGTGCCCCGAGAGGCCGTGGCCCTGATGAAGCCTGTGACCAGCACACCAAGGCAGTCCCCGGGGCCTACTCCAGGTAAGGGCTGGGACGGGGGATGGGGGCAAGAGGGCAGGTGTCCAAGCATATGATTGTGAGCACAGGTGAGTCTCGGTCTGCATGAGCGTGGTGTGTGTGTCCGCGTCCGGGCCCGTGTGGACCTGCTGTGTGGACGTTTGTGTAATTGTATCAGCACTTACATAACGCTAATTTCAGGCCAGGCTCACCCTGCCTTTACTAAATCCTCACTAAGACCCTTCAACATGGGACCATTTGTGCCTGAAGATGTTACAGACAGGGAGACAGGCACAGAGAGGTTAAGTCACTTGCTTGAGATCACACAGCTCAAAAGTGTCAGACCAGGGATATAAACCCAGGCCTCCTGGTGTCACAGTTGGAGCCCTAACCCTGCTTCAAGGCTGCCATGGTGATCCTAGCAAATAATCAGCTCACATCATGTCCCCACCACAACGCTGCTGTGGCTCCTGGGGTAAACTCCAGACTCCTCCCCTATGGCCCAGGAATCCTCCCCAACCTCGTCTCCTCCCACTCTCCCTTAGCACACCCTCGTCCTCACTGTTTCTGGGACACACCAAGCTCATTCCTGCCTCAGGGCCTTTGCCCTTGCTGTTCCCTCTGCCTAGAATGCTCACCTGGCCCCTGCTCATCACTCGGTTCTCAAACATCACCTCCTCAGAGAGGCCTCTCCACCCACCCACACTGATGGCCCCTCAGGGCCCAGCCCCAGACTTCCCTAAGTCCCCCAGTTTAATTTCCACCCCGGCTGCCAGCACCAAGAGCTCTGTCCATTCTGAGTGGTCTGCTGTGTCCTCACCTGCCAGAGGACTCAACTCCAGCAGTGCCTGGTCTCTGCGCTCACCGCTTGGCCCGGACGCCCTGGGTCTCTGTGTGGGGTGAAGGGCTGGGTGTGCCTGCGTGCTCAGGCCCGCTCCTGCCTGGCTCTGCCTCCCCAGAGCTGCCCTCAAGGTCCCTGGAGCCCGACGAAGACCCTGTGCAGACACGGCTGCACCGCCTCCTCAACCCTGACTTCTATGGCTACCAGGACGCCCCCTGGCGGATCTTCCTGCGCAAAGAGGTGCCTGGAGCCAGGCAGGGGTGGGTGGGGCAGTGGACCTGGTCGAGGCAAGCCCAGCTGGGGAAGAGCCAGTGGGGCTGCACTGGAGAGGGGCTTCCAGGAGGTCCTCACCAGAGCCCCGCCCCCACAGGTGTTCTACCCCAAGGACAGCTACAGCCACCCTGTGCAGCTAGACCTCCTGTTCAGACAGGTGAGGGCCTCCTTCCCCTCTGCCCCGAGGACTCAGCAGGGCAGTGGGCACTTAGACTAGCTGTCTGCAGATCCTCCTTCTGCTTCTGCACCCTCGGAGTTGGGGTCCCAGACCACAGCGAGGACAGGAGGCCGTCCTGCCGAGTCCCCCAGCGTGGACAGTGTCGACGTACCCACAGTCCACGTAGTAGCCAGACGTACAGTTGGTCTGAGCTGGGCGGGGCCCGGGGGTCCAGCCCAAGCCCCACCATGTACATCAGAAAACTAAGACTGGGGAGGCGAGGAGAAAGGAGAGCGTGCTGTAAGTGGGGTCTGACTCGCACACGTGACCCCCCTGCGGTGTGGAGGGGACCCCCGTTCCCAGTCACCCTAGAACAGCCCTGCCTGGGTTCCCGACTGGGGGAGTCCCACAGGCTGCCCGCATCACGGTTCACCCACAGATCCTGCACGACACGTTCTCCGAGGCCTGCCTGCGCATCTCCGAGGAGGAGAGGCTCAAGATGAAAGCTCTGTTTGGTACCACGGAGGAGGGAGGGACGTCCATGCGGCCTCCCAGCCCCATCTGCCTCCCAGACGCCCCTCCCCACTCCACTCTGGGCCTCTCCCGTTGCTGGGCTGCAGGTCTAAGTTGGGCTCTGCCTGACTGGCTGTGGCCCAGCTGTCTTTCTGTCTTTGGCCATCAGTTTCCCAGTGTGGACACTGGGCGCGATACCTTCTTGCTGAATGTCAACCTCCCTCCCTGCAAAGTGGGTTGGCAGGGGAGGGGGAGGGTCCTGACCCGACCTGTGTCCCTCAGCCCAGAACCAGCTGGACACACAGCAGCCACTGGTGACGGAGAGCGTGAAGCGGGCTGTGGTCAGCACCGCGCGCGACAGCTGGGAGGTCTATTTCTCCCGCCTCTTCCCCGCCACGGTGAGAGCCCCGCCCGCCCCCTCCCCGCCCACGGCGC